GGTCTTGATAATTTACGATATCATGCTCAACCTCATCCAATAATTGCTTAGTAATACTGACCTGCTAACAAAGTGATAAGTAGTTTCCTCTAATATAATCCTGCTAGGATACCTAATTTGTCTTTGCAGAATGCGAAGATATCGCGTGCCTCCTCAGTTGACATGCTTAAATGTAAGTCTGGGTAACAGCTTCAAACAATTTTCCATATATTGATCAAAGATCTGAGTGACGTGTTGCCATAAGATGAAGAGTCCATTATTCCACATATACCTGAATTTCAAATAAGATCACACTGAGTAAAAAATAGTCTCTTATTTCCAGCAAATTAGAAAATAAAAAATAACGTTTTGTATTTTAACTGTAATAAAAGAATAACTCTCAATCCAGAATATGATCAATCAAATGTAGAAAATAATTTAATTTCAAATATCTGGTACATGTGCCAGAACCTAAATGATAAAGACAGTTTCGTGTAGAGGTGTGGGGCATCTGGAAAAAAGTAGATGTAGCGATGGGGTGCATACAAATTTATGGTTCGGTGACATACATATTTTCCTGCATCACCATCAAGAGGCTTGTGCAGGCGATAGAACCTCCTATTAGGTGAAGCACCATCTGAAGTTGCTGCTATCACCCACAAGTTACATGTGGTTTCCAGTATGCACACACTTTCCCAGAAGAGAGGAATAAGTTGGGCTGAATTTTGCAAAATATGACAAAATGAACTTAAGTTGTGCGCAGACACCTCTGATGAGAAAGACTAATGCATGAGTTGCAATGTCATCTTGTTTTACAAGAGTTCCATAGTTTATGTCTGGGTCTCCAAGGTCAAAATACCCAATAAGTTTCCCAGTATTCTTGTAAATCACCAGATTTGACTGGACTTTCATCTCACCATAGAGTAACACAAGGTATCTTTGTATATCAAATTATGAATCTATTAATGACTTGAGCTCCTCTATATCATCTTCTTTAAACCCCCTCCTAGGTCTAATATAATTACGATAGTCTCTAAGGGTCCTTTGACTTGACAAAACTAGGATTTTGCTCTGACGCAACTCTTCATAACAAGAGGGTGACTTTGCAGCTGTTGAAAGGCAATAGCGTATAATCATGGAGTGATACTTCACACCACTTGGACTGCTTGAAAACAGCTTCTTTTGTTGCTGCCAAAAGAGATTCTTAAAGGGAGTTATATATTTTTGTGTTTCATTGCTCAATTTGTGATCTATCTCCCCACTAGCTCTCGTTTAAGAAATACTACATCTCAGTCCTCATTTTATAGTTTAGTTGGCGTTCAAGCTCAGCACATTTCAAACGCTGTTCTCTCAAAGTCAGTTTCAGTCGGTCTGGGACTGTTCTTGAAATTGGTGCCTTGAGATGTGCAGGTTCAGACATTATTCTCTGCTTTGCTCTAATTGCTCTATCAACTTTGTGTGAATGCTTAAAGCAGGTAGAGCATTCCTCCAAACTCTCAATCAGAAGCTGACATTTATGTGAAAGCCAATACTCTTTGTATGGAAATGTTGGAGGTTCTTTATCATCATAGGCCAAAGGATCCACTRCTTTGGGAATGACATGGTGAATAATATTCGAGTCCAGTTCAGAGTGTTCAATTCCAGGACATACTGAATAAATCTGATACTCACTAATTCGCTCAAAGTGTTATTGGTCATTGAATAGCTTGTATACAGTATATGGTCCTCAGGTAACAACCAACCGTAAACCAAAATTGTGAAACCAAGACTATCACCCACGAAAAGCTGAATTTCTGGTAGGCAAAGACAATCCTTCATCTTTTTTAACACGAGTCTGTCCTCCTGTATTTCAAAAGACCACTCAGTGATACTCTTCAAAGTCTGTGCTCTTTTACAGAAATCGCTGAAGTTTTTATAGCACGATGTCTTCGCTTCGTTAGCATTTTCTACCCTTATAACTGGTGGTGGCCTTGGTAGCGGTTTGTTGTTTTGGTGACTTTTGTGAGACATATTCAGCAATGGAAGGGCTCCAAACTTCGGTCTTTTCTTGGTCAGTTTGAAGATTGAACTAAGAGAGAAATATTAAGCATTGTTATGCTTTAAATGTGGCTTTATGTTCAAATATAGCCACATTTAATATTGATACTTTAATATTTCGTTGTCTTTAGGATCATAATGCATCTCACAAGTAAAGASTTTTTCGTTTTCTATTTACTTTTGAAAATCCTTATCTACACTAACACGATATTTAGTGAGCTCACTGGGCCAAGCTTCTCTCCACTTCTTCGTTTCTCGCGGCAGGAAGCTTCCAAATACCAATTCCCTTGGTTCTTCTGCACGTTTCGCAGCCAACCACGGAACAATTATGTCCTGGCATGTTTGGAAAAGGTCAAGTAATATTCTAAGATAATTTAAGCTAGATATCTGTCTTCATACTAAAGGAAACAACGCCATGCTTATCAACCGTACTCGAACGACGCCATCTTGAATTTGTGTGCAGGGTCATTGTCACCTGACAAGTCATAAAGTCGAACAAAGAGATGGTACTTTGAAGTTCGCCGGCCTTCCTAACCATTCCCCTCTATTAATTATGGTTAATTTTCTTAGTTTCGTTGTTTTGATTGTTATTACAAGCACTAAAAAGTATTCGCACATTTTTCGTATTTACTAGTCCGCTCCACACAGCTCATTAGAACATTAGAAGAATGTATTAGCATATAAAACTTCGATATGCGATGTCACTCTATATGCTATATTATGGCAATCGAATACTGCCGAAAAAACATGAAAAGTTTTGCTTTTTTTTTTTGGAACTACCGTCCATATACAATTAGATTAATAGCACACTTGTTACTTCTAACACCATTTGCTAATACGACTTAAAGTTTTTTCCAGTAATTACCCTCAGAAAAGATCACGTTGACCATTTGATCAATGATATGTTTTCAGGTGGTTTCTATGAGGATTCACTTGCTTACTTCGGTGAACGAGCGTACGGTAATGGATGTAAGATGTGTGACAACGGTACGTTTGTACACGTAAAAACCGCACCAGGAAAACGAAAGGACGACTGCAAATCATGTCCCCAAGGTATCAATAATTAAATATTATAATTCCTTACAAGCTAAATTTCCCGGGGGGGTACTACCACCCCAACTTGGGTAGGGGTGTGCCGCCAGGACCTACTGGAAGCTACGGAAGAGAGATAAGGATGATCGGGAATAATACTGCCATTGTGGAGTCAGAAAAGTGTCGTAAGGCTCAGATCAATATTTGTTTCTGTCGATATTCTTTCTGGTTTTCTAGCCTAGTTTGTCTCTCAGTCTCAGTTTCTCTGACATAAAAGAACATTGTCTCCCTACCGAAACTGGACTGGACTGAACTATCGTTCGTGACAATATTCCAGCAATGAATAAAATCGAGGTTGACATAATACTTTTTGGAGGAAAAACAGTTGTCTGGCTTCGACTAAAGCACGCAAGGAAAAGACAAACTCGTGCATTAAGAAGAATTGCCGCTTTTTCTATTCACTGCGTGTTAACATATCATCGCCTGCCCGCACACCCGCTCGCTCGCCCGCTAGCTTTCTCGATCTCGGACTCCATCGGTTATATATAGGTCCCAGGACTACTCGCTCGTCTGTTCACATGAGGTTCGTCTAGAATAGTGTCGCTGCTCTGCTGGTGGCTCGCAGCAATTAATTTATCAAAAAATGCTAAATACAAAACACTTTTTGTTTTAGGTACACAAAATAAATACTTCGCAGGCTTTAGAGCTTGCCAATGTCAAGATGGGTTTTATCGACTTGATCGCTTCGAGAAGTGCTACTTCTGTCCTGACTCTGGTGTCATGTGTTTCAACGAGTCAATGACTCTGAATCCCGGGTACTACTGGCAGTGGATTTCCCAGTCGGAGAAAGAAAACTACATCAACTTTACCAACGAGCTGCAAATCTTTGATGACAGTTATAACAGGGAACTCGTTACGTTTCATGGTTCTTTCCCCAAACATTACCAGTGTCCAAGATTAGAGTCATGCCTGGGTGGCATGGATGCTAGCTGTGCTGAGGGATACACGGGACCCCTGTGTGCCGTATGTGATAAAGGACAATACAATCTCGTGTCCACTTGTTTCAAATGCCCTAAACTTGGCTGGCTTATTTTCCAGGTATATTAAATAATAGAGTTTTTTTTATCGTGAATGTATAACATGTGGACCATAACTAAAATAATAAGCAAAAAGAAAAAAAAAAGAAAGAGATATAAAATATTAGCACCAAACTTCTTGAATTTTCAAGGAGTTTTCTTTAAAATTTATCACGGATAAATTGTCCTAAAACGTTTTGGATTGTACGATTTTTAAAAAATAATACAGTAAACGATAGGAGAAGAGCTGTACTTTGGGTATTATGAGGCTATTTGGAATGAGAGTTTTGCTTAGAGGACCAATGGAGCGCAAGCACCTTTTAGCCATATTTTGATAACCAGAATCGTCCTTGGAGCTCAAATTTTCTTTTCCCTTTTTCTCGAAAACAAAAATTAAGTATTTTTAAAAAATAGCCACACAGAGTTTCATTCTGCATCATACACTACTTAAATCCAAAAGTAGAGCAAATTCAACTTCTCTTGGACAGAGGCAATAGGAATTATTATTTGTCTTACGTCGTTTTTAGTAGAGGAAACTTGCGTTTTTAAAATTTCTAGCTTGTTATGTTCTACAGATAAGTGCCATCTCCTTGGTTGTCGTAGCTGTCTTTTTCCTGGTCATAAAAGGGAAACGACAACATATCCAAAGCAAGCGTTCACTTACAGATATTATTCTTGCTCGTCTCAAGATCATTATCTCATTCTATCAAATATTCTCTAGTACACTCGATGGATTTTCATACGTCAAGTGGCCAAGAGCCTTGGCCCAGATAAGTGAATACGCTAAGTTCATTCAGCTGAATGTTCTACAGATTGCACCTCTGCATTGTTTCAGCTCTCGATTCAAGATGGATGCTTATGATCATCTTGTTACTGCATGCTCAACGACTGCCATGGTGATACTTATGACTTTGATATATTATAACTTAAAACTTCTCTACACTCTTAAAACTACCGAGCGTTCTGGAAAATCTGCCATTTTCGCAGACCTTGAAGCCAGAAAAGAGATCTGCTACCGGAATGTATTCCTGTTCATTTTTGTAACTTATCCACAGACCTGCTCAACGATCTTCTCAATGCTACCAGCAGCCTGCCACAAAATCTGCCAAGACAGCAGCCAGACACAATGTACCTTCTACTTGAAGGCTGACTACTCCATTACTTGCTTTACTGACAAGTACAATAGGTACGTAATATTTGCTTATGCTGCCCTAATCTACCCTTTTGCTGTTCCAATTCTGACAGTAGTTGTTCTTTGGAAATATTACTTTAAAAACTTACACAAGAGATTGGGTAACGAGGTCAGTGGGGAAGAGATGAGCGAAAACAATAATGATGCGCCATGCAGTAAACAGACAAGTCAACAAACAAACACCACCCAGTGTACCAGCACCACAAGTCCACATATCTACAGTATTGAAAGACAAACCGCTAGACAAATTGATGTCCTTTTAGAACAGCAAGAGCGCAAAACAGACGAGATAAACGAATTTGCTATACACGCAGATTTAGGACTTGATAGCAATTTAGGGATTGAAAAATCAATGGTGGAGAAAAAAATTGGAGAAACAAAAGGAAAAGGTTCGGACAGTACTATGATCACTATCCCACCAATCATAGCAGGAATGAGCTTCATATTCGAAAACTATGCTGAGAATTGTTGGTTTTGGGAAATCATTGAAATGATGAGGAAGCTGTTGTTGACTTCTTCTTTGGCCCTGATTGGTGCTGAAGGACGGACCTCTCTTGGAGTCGCTTCCATTCTGTCTGGTAAATATATTGATCAAATATAATATTCTTGAAGTAGGCAATACATCAATTTAGTATTTAAACTGTTATAATATGATAATTCTTAGGTTGTTATGCCATACTCCATGCGTACTTTAAACCAATCCCTGATAAGTTCGAGCATGTCCTTCAGCTCACGGCACTCCTCGTTACCTTTGCCAACACGTGTATTGGAATGATGCTCAAGATAGACCAAGATGCTTTATTGAATGCTGATGCTAAGTTCATGGATTCTTGGATTATGACGGTTCTGCTAGTGATGACCAATATCATGGTTACGGCCCTTGTTGTTGGTGAGTCTATATAATAGCTAGAGCAAGAACCATTTACTGGTTTTGTAGGAAAGGTCAATACAGCAATATTGCAAAGCGTAACTAAGAACTGATAATCTTTTTTCTGTAAAACTAGAGCAATTATTTTCTAATGACGAGGAAAACAACATCTGGATGGAGTTGGAATTGCAGTCCATCGATAGAATGTCTTAGGGGACATATTTGCAAGATGACGTCTATTTCGTCCATCATGCACTGAAATGCCAAATCGACCCAGTTACGTTTTTCCTTAAACTCGGATTGGCTTGATAAGTTTCACACTGTTTTTCATTTATCTTCTTTTAATAGAATGTATTAAGCGCATTAGATACAGTTGTTTATTAAGAGAAAGTGCATTTGCTCGAGACATATAAATAAAGAGAAAATTCATACTATCTGGATTTCCCTCAACCGCCATTATTACGAACGATCTTTTACTAATCTTTTAGTTAATCTATACTTTATATACAATTTCAGTAAAATATGTGATGGTAGTTGGTAAGACTGTCTATTCCATTATCAAAAACCCTCGCTGCTCTCTCGCTTGCTGTCTGTCAGTTATTCTGACTCTTGATGAAGTACAAAGTGAAGCAAGAAGTATGGGAAGTAACATTGGATTGAAGATGAAAACACAGCTTCAAAGTGGCAATGAATTCGAAGGTAACAATAAATACATTAGTGTGATTTCCTTATGTGTGGAGTATATGTATCAATAAGTAGAAAATGAAATGACCGATTCAAATGGAAAAGTTTGGCATCGATAAATAAAACAATTTAATTTATTGATGATTGGAGCCTAACGATAAGAAGAACTCATAGTTAATTGTATTGTATTATATTTTAAAATTAAGTTGCCGTTATGTTTCGTTATTCATTTTTGATGTTAGCATTTATAATGGTCCATTTTTTGAAGCTTTTCCTCCCTTCATTTGCATGCTTGTCAGTAGGATTTGATAACACGAATTATTTTGATCCACAAATCGATATCATATTCAGTTGATATTAACCATGGTATTAAACTAGCTGATTGAAAACGTGCAAAACGATAAAGGAGATACTTGTTAAAGTCTATATTTTCGATATTTAAATAATGATGTTTTCTTTGCGCTCTCAGGACTGTCCATGGAAGATGCTGCTGGTGATTATGGTTTGACTGGGATCGATATGGACAATGATGAAGATGACGATGATTAAAGTTACGATAGTGATGATGATAATTAAGATGGTGGAGCCAACGTTGATATAAAAAAAAAAGGAAGCAACGGTAAAAACAAGTCCATATCAGAAAAGACATTGCAATCCACCTCAAAATTTGGCTAAACATATGATATATTGTAGAGTAACACAGAATGGGCTTTTAAAATAGTTTGCGCTTATGTAATCTGCTTATAAAATGAAATCAACTGTTAAAAAACGTTAGCAACTATTAACGTAATAACGTTAAAAAAGGGATGGAAAAGACGGCTGAGTTATATAACCCACTCATGAATATTATCATGATTGCAGTTGGAAATGGCAGTAGCCTTTAAAAGTTGTTCGTTCATGCAATTTGCTTGACATTAAGAAACGCCGTAGAAATAAATGCTCGAGATATATATATGATTCACGCACTAGACTGGTTTTTGTATAAGTGGGAAACATATGACGCAACATTGAGTTGGCCTTTCATTGTTTTCCAGTAAATGACTACGTTAAGATACAATAGACGACTTGCACTAACAGGTCACGTGACCCCATCCCCCTTAAAACAAGCAAATGAGTCAAAATGAACTCCAGAAATGAAAAGAGCACCTCAAATTTAGTGAGGGGGCGAAGTTTCACCTCGAAACGTTGAATATAGAAAAAAAGGCATTAAATATAAGATCAAATATTTTACAAAGATTTGTATGGGAAAAGTCTTGGCTAGTAAGCTTTTGCCATCCAGCGCATTTTCCCATACAAATCCTTATAAAACATTCAATTCTATATCTAATGCTATTTCTCCTGTTTTACATATTATGAGCTAATATAAATTTAGGCACTGCCTAAAAGCGGAGCTCCAATACCACAGGGATACCAATTTAGATAAAACTGAAAGATGAAAATAAAATCGGGCGAAACATCTTCAATGTTTTCTCTAATTCGAGATGAAAATAATGTCCCCCATAACGAAAACCAATCAATGAAAAAATGAAATGTAAATGCACTTCATCGTTTTCTTCGCACGAGTCTTTGTTTTCGACTTTAGCACTCCATAAGACAGACTAGCTTAAGAAAAAGTGAGAAAAACACAAGCTTACTTTTACGTCTTGTCAAAAAAAATAACATACGATTGTTTGCTAAAAAATACACACCTGAATTCTTGAAGAACACTTCTTGGTCCATCTTTGACTACATGAATTTTTTTTGTTATTTTTTGTTGGTCTATAATTTTTCCTAAAGCGATTTTTTCTGTGCATTTGAAAACCACATTTGCGAGGGATGATTTACCAGTGCTGCGCTCGCGCGGGCATTAGGGCCGAAGGCCCGCGCGGGAGCTCCGCTAAAACTCTGTCACCCTACTAATGCCGAGACGCTCTTTTCATTGATGTTTTATTTATTTGACAAAACCGCTCGTTTTAAGGGAGGTAGGGTCACGTGACCTGTTAGGTAGGGTCACGTGATCTTTTAGTTCGCTGCATTCAATGGTGAGATATCAAATTGAACACTCGAAAATAACTTTCATATCTCCGCGCGGCCATGTTTTATTCTCTATATCATTGTATATTCATGTGTATTGTAGGTACTGGGAATATATAACAGTTTTGACCATACACCTTTCCTGAGATAGCGAACATGCTGCATTGTGGTTTAGCCGCTTCGGTACAAACATGGATCCTGTTTATCGAACTCAGAAAAGGCCTATAGGTGTCCTGATTATGCGAGAAAACTTGAAAAGACGTACGCCCTTCCCGAGCCTCCCTTTGCTAACATTTGTCCTGATAATGTTGTTGTTGACAGCAAGATTCAAAACTGCCCAACCGTCACGCCTACTGGTAAGAAGAAATGAGTGGGGGGAATTTCGTGCTAGGCAGGAAAACTCCTTACCGGCTTTTTGCAAAATGTTAAAAGTAGTGCTGGAGAGTTCTATAAACTGCATTGAACGGCCAATTGATTAAGCTGTGGTGGGTCCTTGATTGAGTGACTGACTTGTGTGTGAGTGAGTGAGTGAGTGAGTGAGAGGAGTGCAAAGTAAGGAGTTTAGCTAGTAAAGGTAGAACGAAATCATTATATGAAATCTGTGAAACAATTCCGTGATTATCTTATTATACGCTAGTGTTTCTAAATGGCGGTAGGTAATTGGACGTGTGTATCATGAAATATAAATCGCTGTTTACAAGCAAAAATATTTATATTTAGAAAATATTTCAAAAACACCTCTTTTATTCCTTTGTTTACTTAAAGTTGGTTCTAAAAGGTACACCTAATAGCTCACTTCCGAAATATGCTTCGCTTGTCACGCACAAGGGTTTCAATGCGAGGCTTCGTGCATAATTCTCAGTGATTCGTGAACGGAGATCAAGGTTAATTGATTATCGCGTAACTTTTTTATAAAAGTATGTTCCCCACCAATGCGTTGCCCCACATCCTTAGAAGAAATCGTTGGTTTATTAACTAATAAGGCATAACCGCTCCCATGCCTAAAAATAGCACGGGCCTTAAACTGCTACTACTATCAAATTTTGGACTGGCTTCTTTTTTGCCTGCATTCAAACACCTTGTCATGAAAATGCACAAGCTCTGGTCGCTATGGCAACTCAACGGGTGTCCGGGCCCCTAATAACGATTTGAGCCATTCAGCGATTGCCTCCTTATCTTTAACTTGAGCAGAAAATTGTTTGACTAAATTTGTGTCTACGGCCATAACAAATATTTGAACCTAGCCTTTTTCGATATCATTTCTCTTAAAGGTAGAAATTTCAAAATTCTGAATTTTAGATAGAGGTGGCCTGAAAAAGAGTACTATAATACTACTAACTATAGCTAGCTTGTCTTAGGCGACTTAAAGTAGTAAAAATTGGAGACTTTAAAAACAAGATTAACTAGGTTCGAAGATACATTTTACACAAAACTAGGTTTAACAGGTTTTCTAAAACTAGTACCAAAACAATGCACAATACCTTTCGTGGAGCGTAATCTACGAAAATCTGTTCAGAACAAAAGAAATGACGCACTTTTGTAAAAAAGTGAAAAAAGTCCTCTATCTTTGCCAACTTTGTTTGCAATTACAGTACAACTACTAAGCCATTTAGACAGTTAGACAAGAGAACCAATTTTAAAGATGTAGATTGAAAACAATGCATTCCAACTTTGGGTAGTAGAGCCAACCAGCTCCACTACCCAAAGTCGGAATGTATTGTTTTCATTCTACAATTTTATTGGTTCTCGCTGTCTAAGTGGCCCCGGTTATAGTAGTTGCACTGTTATTATTTTTTGAGCAAAACAGGCTTTATTATGTCACTGCTTTGAATGTATAGACTGACATTTTCAAAATGCCCTTGTTGGCATATACTTAAACAGTATTGTCATATCCCAGCTGTAGAAGTCCATTTTCTCGTACTCTGATTGGTCGAGAGGGTATCACGTAAAAGTGAACAACTTCGATGTTTCCCCCGGAACGACTCTCAGCGGGCAACAATACTGTTGCAAAAATGATTTGTTCAAAAAAAAAAAACACCTATAGGATTTATCCTCGTCCGTCATATACAATGAGTATTTTTACACAAGTGAATATAATAAATACGACGCGCTCATTGGTCACAATTTACGCTTGTTTGTCGAGTTTTGCCGCTCGCAGGGATAAAAGACTCGCGTCTCAGTAATTATTCCGCGATATGCACTTCGCCTTCGGCGAATAATTGTATAATATCAAGTCTCGACTTCAATATTCTGCAATAATGGGCCCGGATAAATCCAAAAAGTGTATATTATTATCATTCCAGTATTTGGCAAACCATGCAAAGGCAATTCAAATCTTGGTAAACTTAGGTTGTCGAACTATTGGTATATTTTTGAGAAAACGAATGATTTCGTTAATAATTGACTATCCCCTATGCTAACTATGTTTTGATTGAGGAAGCCCCCAGCTTTTGGGGCCTCGCATTCCTTTGCAAAGCAAGACCCTGTGGCCAGGGTAGACTGGGATACCTGGAAGCGGGAAGTGGAGGGACTGGTTTCAGCATGCATGTAGTACTTAGTTCAGGTGAGCTTCCGAAAATACCAGTTGATAAAGTAGGCACTGCATGCCATGCATTGGAAAACGACATTGAAATACAGCCTAGACCGAAAAGGATAACGGGTTAAATTACCCAGAACTTGCGTCATCCAAACTGCTCTTTAGTTTAAATCTTTGCCGTATGCTCGAGCCATGGTTTCAGCAAATTAAATGGGATCGAAAAAAGCGAGCTCAAGACGTGTTAGATAATATGTGCGGCAGCTAGTAACTATGAATTAATTTTCCCCATGATCCTTTTCGGTCTAGGCGCGCAGGGATGAAGCCGATCAAACGACAACGTTTAGTCAAAGGACTGTATGTGATGTGATTGCTGTATGTTGATCTACTTTTACGGTTTATCCCTGTAATCCTAAAAGAATTGCAGGCTCTGCGATTATTTCCACTACTAAACAGTGTTGCGTTATGAATATCACACTATTTGTCATATTGCCCAAATTTGCCCGCTGTCATGACACTGTACTCGACTGAAGAAATAAATGTATTTCGCTCAGAAAATATTCATTTACTCGCCAAAATAATAAGCAAGGCTTAGGTACAGATTTCATTACAAATATCAATCAGCTTGTCTTTATTCGGGTCTATAAATCTCTGATTGTTTGTTGAAGCAAATTACCCAGTTATTTGTCTCATAGCGATGAACTCGTAACAAGATCAGTTCGCAACAAGTCTGACTGCTGAAATCCTAAGAAATGAATTTATTTCCTCTGAAAACTATTTATTTACACGGTCGAATTAGGGACATTTTGTATGCAAATTCGTTCAGAAACAACTTCGTTATGACGCCTTGATAAATGTCGAAAGTTTGAAGGAATACGCCTGACGTCGAACTACAGTTTGAGGTTTACTTGTTGGTCTCTTTGTTTTCGCTTTGACTTTACGCTAAACTCTCTGACGAGTAAATAGTGCAAGATTTCAACCGTAAGCTTCACAGTGAAGTTCCAGATAAGGTAGGCTTGCCTTTTCCGAAATGGCAGTCGTTTTCTCAGCAAGGACGAATCCAAAACAAGAACTAGCTCCAAAGTCAATCACAAAATGGTCGGCGGTGAGGGGTTTTTCTTAACTAAAACACCTCATGATCAGGGTGATCAGTCATGTGAACCTGTCAGTCGAACATGACAGCGTCAATCATGCGGAAGCAAGGCGTTGTCATGGTGTCGAAGTCTGAACCAATCAAAATCCCTATTGACAGAGGCCCTAATGCCTGCTGGTTACTATTGCGCAACTTTTCCAATTTGTCGCGGAGGAATCAGAAAGAAAAAAGGCATTTTATGATTGGGCTACACAGGTATCCCAGTAATAACGTACAGCCGTTCTCAAATCAAAAAAGTTGAAATTTCATAGTTTCAAATAAATTCATGAAAAAAATATTTACATGAAGAATTTTCAAAGAAATATTTTACCCGTTTGTTCTTGAAAATAAAAGCCCTTTAAAGCAGTCCAGTATTGAATAAGTTTGCCTAGAAAAGGCCCAAACACAAGAACAAGAACCCAGAAGCAATCTATTGGTTACTATGTGACGTCACATATGAAATCAACAATCTCCTAAATTGCGAGGTCGAAGGCAACATAAATGCCCTCCATTAATTACTAATGCTTTGTTAGTAATATACGAGTCCCATGAGATCGAGAATTTAGCTCTAAATACGCCCAAAATTCTTTCTTCCATATTCCTAATAACGTTTCTGATTTTTGCTTCTTGGGAGGCACAAGAAATCATTTATTTGGCTTCCAACACTTCGATCCTCAGAGATGTCAAACACGGTCTTCATTTCGCTAACTTTGTAAAACACCGGTTCAAGTATTTGAAAGTCACACCCTTCATGTCTTCACTGATACCAAACCAGAAAAAGTGTCAGGTATTTTGTGTTCAAAACTTGCAGTGTTTGTCGCTTAACGTCGCTGTTTTTCCCAACTCTGATGACAAGTTTAAATGTGAACTTCTTGCTACGGATATTTTCAATTCTTCTTCAAACATCACTAACGACGTGAATTACAACCATTACAGCTTTGAGGTTAGATATTTTCACTCTACTTGACCATGTACATAGAACCGAGCAAAAATAGGGAAACATTGTTCTTCACTTTTTGATATTTGAAATGATATTTAATGATGTTATTTTCAAGTAACGCTCTTGAAAAATCAAGTTAACCTCGTTTCAATTTCAATCTCAAAATTCTGCAAAAATAAGATAATAAGATAATAGCATAAATGGATTACATTGTTGACTTTTTTTTTACTTTTTAACGCCTTTTGAAACTTTTCTTTTCTTTTCGAACCATCAAAATCCAAATATTATACAAAACGAATCAAAGGACAGAAACGTCAAAGCCGACAATAATGAATGTTTGGTATGTTTAAACTTAATAGTGAACGATTTTTTTTTTTCGATTAAAATCACGAGTGTGGCAAGAATTATTATTGAACGTCTTTGAAGAAGTGCAATTAATAAACGGCATTGCAAAGCATTTTTACATTCACGCTGAATATTCGTTCCCTTTAGTAAACAACGATTAGGCCACTCGTTCTCTCTTGAAGCATGATACGAATTTTAATTAAGAGCTCGGCATGCGCTAGCTGATGTTTGAGTAAACATGTTTCCTGACAGTTTTGCCACCTAAGAAAACATTTAGGGAAACATTTTTCTGGAAAGATGTTTCCTCGTTTAGCCAAGGCCTTACCATTGTGTAAATCAAAACAATTGATTCATGAAAGCAGACCATGCTCAATACTATATTTTGAGAAGTTTCTTTTAGTTCATTTGCCTGACGAAAATAGAGGATATTACATGGGCGCGCGGAGATACGAAATTTATCTTCGAGTGTTGAAAAGATCTCTCACGAGTGAGCGTAGCGAACGAGTGAGAGATTTTCAACACGAGAAGATATATTTCGTATCTCCAAGCGCCCATGTAATATTCTGTTTATTATATAATTATCAATGAAAGTATGTTTTGGCTTTTTCAGGCAATTCTTTTCGTGTATTTTGAATAGCCATCGCAATGGTGTTATTTTCACCATAACATGTTATTTTCACGTGTGAAGATACCAATTTTTCGAAATAGAGAAAAATAGATATTTCATTGGTAATTATATAATAATATTATTTATGATATCTTTAGTATTTATCTGAACCTGAGTTTTTTTAAATTTTTTTTCTTTTTTTCTTTATTTCTTGTTTTCATGGCTATTGATCTTCACGAAATGTAATTGACATCTTTAATATTTTACCAAATACACACAAAAAAAAACATCTTCATACAAAATAAAGGTGGCTCGCCTTTGGGTTTTCTTTGGTCACTCTTTTAGATCTGCTGTAGCTCTCGTCCTAGAGCTTTAGTTCTTTTGTATATTTTCTTTAAACTCGCCTAGGCATAAAATGAACTTTCTAAAAAAAAGGACCTCGCACGGAAGCGATAATATTATAACGAGGAAGTGATGACGCCTTCTAATTTGCATATAGCGCAATTTCGCATAATATTGATCTAAACTTTGAAAAGGACAAAGCAAATCCTGAACCTGAAATGTAGATCTACAAGATCGTGTAGCTCAAAATGAAATATTGGCTTTCAGATACTGTCTGGACATAGCTCTGCATTCCTTGTGAGTTTTAAGAAATTTGGCTCTCGCGATTTTGATTGAGAAGAACATGTAATATGTTTTTTCGTTTTCCTTAAACGTATAGTTATTTTTGCTTGTGAAAGTGTCATCAAGAAATTCCAAGATGAATATTTTTTTCATTATTCAAAGATCATTTCAAGAGTCTAAAATTGATGCCGAGAGAGACAAAAGACAAGATCATGGCGACCATTAATAATAGATGCTCATCAAAACCAAAACGCTCCCACAAGTGGCCACATTAAATGCAATTGAATATTAGCATTTTATAATTTTAAATTAGAGATAATTTCCTTCGCCTTATTCAAGTTTGTTTTGTAGCATTGTTATGTTGATGTTACACATTTCCAATCTGGTGATTTTACGCATTTTTGCTTGCATCTTCTTAATCACATTTCGCTGCTTCTAGACCGCTCGTGAAAATTATTATTATTTAAATATCACTGCACAGTGTACGATTAAAAGGCATATTTCTTTATTTTGAAATGTGTTGTTCAATTTTATTTCTGTATTATTAATTTCACTTCACCAATATTGGTTTTTTGCTGGTGATTTTAATTTTCACTATCGTATCTTTTTGCATTCTTTTTGTATTTTTCATTTGAAAATTTTTCCCCGTTATGATTTGAAAACGGCGAGATGAAATTTCTTCAAACTGCACCAAATCGTAGCCTATATTTCAGGTTTAGGATAAGTAAATTAGAGAGTATTAGATTTACGTTTTTTCGCTATGACTGTAAACCGCGGTTACACGCTTACAGTTAGAAGTTTGACGTTGAAACCGTAAGACCTTTCAGATTGGCGTTTACAATTTCACCTCAAAATAGGAAATTGGTCATCAGGGCCATCTAAAAGGTGTCATATTCTATGGGGAAAAAAGAATAATTTAAGACAACACAAGCACGGAAGCACAATGTTTTCTTTAGTGTCGACATGGTGAAATAAAACGACTGAAATGCTACAATACAATACAATACAACCTTTATTTACTCATAGG